ATGGTGGTCCTGTTAACCAATATACCCCTAATAATTTATACGGGTATTGGGTTCTTGTTTTGTGCACCTTCATTTATGCCTATATTTTCAGTTTATGATTTTTGTTGAACATTGCATTCCATTGCTCTATATACCACTAGAGATGACAACAATTTTAGAATCCACAAAAATGAACTCAAGGATTCCTTTTCTTTTTATATATATCTTGAATTTTTTATTTTTCTCTCTTCTTGTTCTATGTAGAGCTTCCGTAGAAGTAAAGCTCATTCCTTTATGCTGTGGATGATACTGAAACCATGAGACCTATCTAGCGAAATGGCACAAAGTTATTGAACACTGGCATGATTTTTGCTTTCAGAAATGTATTGTTCGTGGAAAAATATGTGCAGTCATCTTATCTGTTACAGATGAACTTGCTGTGAAGATCTGTTCTGAGTCATACAGGTGCTAATCAGGTTGATGGGTTTCGTCCAATTTTCATACAGAGACAAATGGACAGAATAGAGAGTGTTTTGCTTTTTTCTTATTGATAGAATCCTTTCAGAGAACCACTCCTCCTGGGATGATGCAACGGTTAGTTTCTTTTCTCTGATGAAACAATCCTTTTAAGTTAATTTTGTGATGGACTGAGCTCATGTTTGATATTTGTTTCAAGACTAAATCTATGGTTACATGTTTAATAGGTAAGTACCAATGTCACATTATCACTCTTTCCCATTGTCAACTCTTTTTCAAAGTTTACAAATTTGCCTAGAGTTTTGAGCAGTAATTGAGTACCAAGTCTGTCTAACAAATGAAAAGTAATTCTACTTTAAATTTCTGATGTCATGTGGGGGAATGTTTCAGCAATCCAATCCGTTGCATGTGATAATAATTTTTAGTGTATGTATTTGACTTTACCATTGTTGTCAAATCGGGATACGAATCATGTATCGTTTTTTAATTTTTTTGAATTGCGTGTCGTATCATATATCGTAAGATACTTTAATAACTTTAGAAATAGGTAAAAAAATAAATATAGTTATAAAAAACAAATATCTTTTGAGAATAAAACACTAAATAATGTATAATTCTGTCAATTGCAAAGTAAAGTTCTTTAAATTAAATATCTACATGCAGCAATACATATTATCTTTACAAGGCATATATTAATATACGCAAGATTCTTAAACATACAATAGATATGTTAAAAAGGTCAAGAAAATAAACTAAAAAGTATTGTTCTTGTTAGAATTTACCAATTTACTCCTCCACCTAACCATCTCCACTAGCACCCACTCACCTACCACCTCCACTACACTACACCTACTACCACCTTCTCTTCTATATATAGGAGTTGTAATACAAACCACAATATCAATCAATTTGTAATACATCTATATCATCAATCAACTCATCAATCAATAATATATTTATTTTTACATGGTATCAGAGCAAGGTTGAGAATTTAGTGATCGCGCTTCACCGGCGGACGGGCAGCCTCGCCTTGGCCGTCCGCCGGACAAACCCAAAATTTTCTTATTCTCTCTCTCCTTCCTCAACAAACTGATTCATCACCCAACCCGTAAGCAACGGTCCAGATTCACCCAGATTCAAGCCTAGTCTGCATGACCAATATAAAAAAAAAAAAAAAAAAGCTCCAAGCCTGGAAACAGCTTGGCCGAAATCCTCCCTCTCTCCGACACCCCCGGCGGCCCATGGCAGGTCTACGGCGTCGCTCGCCGCCCCCGCCCCGCCTGGAACGCCGACCACCCCATTGACTACATTCAGTGCGACATCTCCGACCTCACCCATATCTTCTACGTCACCTGGACCAACCGACCCACCGAGTCCGAATGCTGCGATGCCAACGGAGCCATGCTACCTCACGCCGTCTTTTCGTTCCACACCGCCAGCCCATCAGCCACCGTGTGTCTACCAGCACCATCACTTCCGTCCTCTTCCATCACCGTACTCCCAGACGCTTGCCTAGGCCCCTCAAAGCTACGGGCCGCCCCTCCAAGCCATGGCGACGCAGCCAGATCTCTGCAAACAGACCTCCCTCCGCCATATTGATTGCCCATGGTTCACATACAGATAACAATTAATTGCAAGCCAAAGTTATATCTATCTATATCCTTCTATTTTCTGTGAGGATCGATAGGTGGATAGAGCCAGCCAGATCTCTGCAAAAGCAACCTCTTTGTTTACTTCTATGCACATGGTCCCTTTTTTTAATCATCCCAACCAATCCTCTAAGCTACTTGAGCATATAACCCAAAAGGGGAAGATGCTCTGTTATTACACTTTATCATCTCGGGGCTTGAAAACAGCACTACCAGCACTAGCAATAGCACACCATCCCTTTCTTTCTTTTCTTTATTCTCCACTCACAAAACATTATCATCACCTTTTGCACTTCACCCGTTGCTCCACTTTTCTTTCTTTTTCTTTTATTTTCTTTATTTATTTATTTATTTCTTCAACAAAAAAAAAAAAAAAAAAAAAAAAAAAAAAAAAAAACAACGGAGGAAGAAGCCGAACTGCCAAACTCATTTTATTCATATTCGGGCCTCATCTCCCGATCATCATTACACAAAAAAAAAAAAAAAAAACAAAAACAAAAAACAAAAAAACAAAACAACCAACACCCACAGTGGGATTTTTTTTTTCCCTTCTCTATTCTACTGCAGTCTCTTCTTCTTTACTTTTATCTTGGGTGTCCCGTGCCAGTCCGGTCTCCGTGTTTCCTTGTCCACTGAGCACGTTCACTCCCCCATGCTCCTCCACTGCCGCATATGGCGGCTCCTCCAAATCGGAACATTCACTGGTGGCCTTCCGCTTGCAAGCTCCTTGTTTTCTGCCCTTAGCACGCTTTATCTTCTTTGCTGCTGCATCCTTATTACATGCGTTGGAGTAGAGCCAGCTGGAGTATTAAATGGCTGCACCTCATTTGTCCTACTCTGCAGCCGGTTCGACAAATTTTGTGACCGCCGTCATGGTTTCCACGCATGACTTCAGAGTATACTGATTAGCCTCAATATCAGATTTGCATCGCCATTTTTTGCTCCACCGACCGCATCGGAAGTTCAATGGAGCAAAACCAGAGGGTGTTTTGGTTGCGGTTCACTGGCCACCGCACCAGTTATTCTCTTGTGGGCTCGTTCAGTTCTTGGAAAGAGCGTGAGCAGGTTCTGGGTAACTGGACGGGAAGAAGAGGCATAGTTTTTGAGTTGCTAAGTGTTTCAGAGAAGGGTTGGTTTCCGGGTGTTTCAAGATTTGCAGAGACAAGCTCTCCGAGCGTTCAGAGGTTTCAGACTCGTATGCACAGCCTTCGCCTCAACCTTGTTTTAAATAGCCAGGGCCTAGCCTACGCGCATCGCGCGCCTCTTGCCACTAGCCGACAAAACGGGCACGCAAGCCAAGGCGCCCACGTGCCTCGCCATCATTGTCCGGCACGCCTTTTGATGAATTGGGCACGCCTTTTTTTATGGCACGCCTTTTTATGGATTGGGCACGCCTTTTGATGGCACGCCTTTTGAAAGATTGGGCACACCTTTTTGAGGGTGCGACTTTCAAGGGTCCGACAAGACTCTTGTAAACTGTCCCGACATTTGATTCCCGGTTAGCTCCTTAAAGGGTCCGACAAGACTCTGTAAACTGTTCCCGACATTGATTCCGAGTTAGTTTCTACAAGGGTCCAGCAAGACTCCGTAAACTGTCACAACATTGTCTGCTACAAACGGTCCGACATGACCCCATAAAACTGTCTTCTACAATCGTCCGACATGACCCCATAAAACTGTCTTCTTACAACGTTATGACACCACCATACAGTTGTCCTCACAACGTTTATGACACCACCATACAGTGTCTTCAACCAACCTGACACGACCATTACAGTGTCTCCATATCCTTTTTTTTTATGTATTTTCTTGTTTTTGTTCCTCTCTCCAAACTCAAGTTGGTCAAGTTGGTTAGTTTCTATCTTCCTTGAGTTTGCGGGGGCTGTTAGAATTTACCAATTTACTCCTCCACCTACCATCTCCACTAGCACCCACTTCACCTACCATCTCCACTACACTACACCTACTACCACCTTCTCTTCTATATATAGGAGTTGTAATACATAACACAATATCAATCAATCTTGTAATACATCTATATCATCAATCAACTCATCAATCAATAATATATTTATTTTTACAGTTCTCATCTCAAAAATAGCTTTTTTTTAATAAGTTAATGGAAATTTTCGACAATATTAATTTACATAAAATAGTTCGGTTTTTTTTCCTTCAAATTTGTTAAAGAAACTTAAGTATTTATGTAACATATGTATCGCATTATGTATCGTGTATTGTATATCGCATCACATATCATATATGTATTGTAAGATACATTTAATTTAAGATACGTATTGATGATAATATTGGTTTCTTTCTGAAATGTATCGAATCGTAAGATACGTATCGTGAATTGTAAGATACTGACAACACTAAACTCTACTAGTACGGTATTATTGTTAAATGAACTGATAACACCATTAGTTGGAGTTCATTAATTATCACATATGCAACATTTAGTTTCCATATGTAAAATGTATACATGTATGTGTACTTGTCCGTACATAAGGCCCACCTCCGCCAGACGTGAATACACAAGTTTTCCTATGCTTTTTGAAGTAATGCTCTTTTTAGTTTTATACTTTGTTTTCCCCTCTATTTTGTTTTTAGAATTTTGGTGATGAATTTAGCTTTTTGTAGAATAGAAAATTATAATTTTGGACCAAGTGTGGCATGTACTAACATAATAAAAGCCTTCTCAAAATAAATACACTAAATCAGTTTTGAGCACATGAGAAGAGAGTATTGAGAAGAGGGTATCCTCATCTTCAGTAGTGGCGATGTCATTGCTTGGTCTGAGATTGTGTTCTACAATAGTTCTCTTAGCATGTAGTTGCTGATGATAGTGTGATGCTCAAGATGTTCTTCCTGAATTTCCAATTTTATATTTCATATTTATTTTTCCATTGAACTTCCATTTCTTGATGATTTTCCTTGTTATTTACTCATCAAAAAATAAAAATGAAAATGAAATTGTGTTTTGTACTTGCCTTAAATGTGTCTATTTCATCTGTATCCCTTCCTCTTTTGTTGAATTTTTGTCTCTATTACCCAACAAGTCTACACTTGCTCATTTTCACCACTGTGTATTTCAATGAATTTGCAGAAATGATTCGGAGAATTCAGACTAGCGAGGAACACATTTTCAACCTCATAATTCCCATCTTAGGGGCTAGAAGGTCTGCAAAATCCGTGGATAACGTAATTACTCGCGAATTATTTGCCCTGAAATCTTAAACTTCATGCACTCTGCCGATACAAGGTGTTAATTATCATTTCACTGCTTTTGTTTTGGTTCTTCTTTTTTCGTTTTTTTGTCTTAATTAGTTTTTGCACCAAATAGCTTTGTATAATGATTGTATACACACACTCATAGTTGTTTTCCAGTTTTAGTACTCGTTATGATGGACTTGGCAACACTTCCACTCTTTGTTTGGAGTAAAGTTTGGTAGGTGCCTTACAAAAAAAAACTCTTAATCATTTCTTTTCTTTTCGTTTTCATGTCTGACTATTCTTTCTTTTATTTTCTCTTCTATTTTACCAGTGTTATCGTTTTTAAGAAAATTGTTAGCATGTGCTCAGGAATTTTCAAAATTACAGTTTAGCCTACTATTTTCAAGATGTCTTCAATTTACCCCCCTCTAAAATTGCAATTTACAAGATAATTGTAATGTTGTAGAAAGAGAAAATTGAAGAGGGGTATTGAGAGAGGGGGACCGAAGACATTTGCGGGGCAGTGCATGTGTGCCAAGCAATGGAGGGAACCCACAGAGGTGGTGTTGTTGAGAAGCAAAATGGGTTAGATTTACATCATTATAGACCCAAAACACCTAATAAAGTACAAGACTTTACTTATCTATAGGAAAGCAAAACTTTCGAAGGAAGCAACTTGTTTGGTTCTTATTAGGCTATTAGTGTACATGTGTGGGTGTTTTTTCCTTTTTGAAAGGATAAATACAAAGAAATAAGAGTAGAATATTACATTATATTTTTATTGGATTCTGTTATCATTATTTGGGTATTTTTAACTGCCATGTATATATATTTTGGAAAGAACAATAAAATGATGATGTTGATAATAACCAAGTCTCGAGTGGGCAGGGGAAGGGGGCAAGGGAGTGGCAAAAGTGGGTGGGTTGATTTCTATCCTTTAATAATATTTTATTTATTTTTTATTTCTATTGATGCATAATAGCCCAAGTAACATTTTGGCATAACATTGAAAATATAATATTAAGCTCATGAAAAAGTTTATAAAATTAGGTTTTAATGTTGATATTTTTTTCTCAATAATATTCCTCCATTTCGCTTGAATGGTGTTGTTCCAGTGTAATAAATTGCCCTAAAACCTATTGATGTTGTAATTTTGCATCTATATTTGGTACAAGAGGCCAAATTACAAGGGCCGCGAATTAGAGTGAGGGCCAGGAAGAAATCTGGTGAGGTACGGAGAGCAGAGAGAGAGTGAGAGAAGTAAGAAAAATACAAAGAAGGCTATAAGTACAACTCTAAAAAATAAAAAAATAAAATGATTGGTCACTTTGGAATTGCATATACCGGGCATTTGGGAACATTTAAAAAAGTCAAAAGTTAATTTTTAACTCATTTTGAGTCATATTATCTTTCATATAAAAAACTTAACTTTTTAACTATCTTTCCAAAACACCCCACGATCTAAAACGTCCAAATGACATTGAAAGTTAAGCAAGTTGGTGGTACTGCAATGTGGGAATAAGTACAAAAGCCAATTGGAACTTCACGTCACCATTAGTTGGATTCCACTTGGTGGGTTGATTCAATCACTGCCCCCTTCTTGGTAGCAAGGGCGAAGGGTGGTGGGGCAAGTGACGTTGGGGGGGGCTGCAATGGTGTTTGGGTAGTAGGATTGTAGTGGTGGTGGCGGGAGCTGGTGAAGATGGTTGGAGGTGGGGAGCGAGGAACGGTAGCTGGTGGTAGGGTGTACACTTGAGAGATTAGAGTCGTGAAATTTTGGCTGAAACGTTAATTCATTTAGGGGATATAAATGTAATAAAAAAAATAAGGAGATAGTGGCATGTAAATGGAATTATATATTTGAATCTTCTGCCTTACATTAATAATAATTAATAAAAATTATTTTTCCAAATGTTAATACTAACGTTTCATTTGATAAAATTGACAAAATTAAAAAGTTAGTTTAGTTTTTGATTTATTTTAAACTTTTAATTTTGAGTATTTTTATTTTTTATTTTTAAAGTCATGTCTGGACTAGACGATTTAAAAGGAAAAAAAAAATTTGAATCAATTTTTAAAAAGTTCATTAAAGATGAAAAGAAATCAATTTTTATTAAAACAAGCTTACAAAAATTAGTTTATTTTTATTTTTTTCTAAGGTTTAAAAAATGATTATTTTTTTAAAATTTTAAAATTATCAAATCAAGATGAATCTAAGAAATTTGAATCAATTTTTAAAATTTTTAGTAAAAATAAAAATAATTATAAATAGAAGCCTCACATGTTCAAGTCATTAAGATTAGACCCTGGGTAATAGCCAGTCATCTTGTAGTCCAACTTGGATTTCGTTTGGTTATTCAATATTTTAATTTAAAATTTTAAAAATTATTAAAAAAATTAATAACATATATCAAAAAATTAAAAATTTTCTTTTCTTTTTATTTTTGCACATTATTTTGTAAAAAATTAAAAAATTATTTTAAATATATTAATTTTTTATTTTATATTTTAATTAAAAAATTATTAAAATAACCTATTACCAAACGAGATCTCAATCAAGTGATCCATGATTCATGGGTGGCATTTTTGTTAATTAAGAGAAACACCAAGGCCCAATTTTGGTTGCTAGCTTTATAAATAGACCAAGGATCCTCTAAAGTGAAATTTTTCTAAAATTTTTTAAAGTGCTACATTGTGTGGTTGAGATTTACTGGCAATTTTAAAATCAAAAAAAATTAAAATGTCAACTTGTAACTAATTTTTTAAAACAACCCAAAATAAAAGAATTTCAAACTGGTATGCTTAAAATTTATCTTCAGCTTTAGAGATTTTGGGAAAAATGAATGCTTAGGCGTGGGTTAGTTGTGGCCATAGAACCTTCAATTCGCCATCTGTCTGTTAGATTGGTAGATTAAAAAAAATCAATCCACATCCGTTCGCCAATCCGACGGATGTGAATTGAGTAGATTGACGGATGAATGAGAATGGGTTTGACGGTTTAAAATGTTATAAATTTTTAATATAATTTAACTTGTGCACTTCCTAAAATATATATATATATATATATATATTACAATTAATGACTTAAAAAAATATTACAATCATTGCATGTTCTATCAAAATAAAGAAAGCTTGAAATTTTAGAATATTACAATCACTGCATGTCTCATCTACATAAAGTATTACAATATGTGGTTTTTAAAATATAAAAATAAGAGCAGTAGTAGAGATTGTATGCCTCTGCATTGTTACATCGATATCTATTTTTGAAAACAAAAACCAACCAGTATATATCATATTTTTTATTTTTATTTTTAAAGCTAGATTTAAAAACCAAAAAATATAGATAAATAATACATTTATTTTTTTCAATTCCAAAAATATATTTAAGTTGAAAACTCTTTTTCAACAGAATATTTAAAATTCTTTTCAATTGAAAATACAAATAGAGTATCTAAATAAATTAAAAATATAAAATCTTACAAATTACTAAGGGTGCTCGAGGTTTGGCGGTTCGGTTGGGGTCAAAGGGATCTCAAATCCACTATCCGTTCAAAACTAGGCAGATTGAAAAAAATCAATCTGCAAACGTCCGTTCGTCATCATACATCCGTCTAAAACATGACGGATCAGTTCGATTCGATCAATTTAGATAGGTTGATATATCCCCTCTCCACTCCTAATGAGTGTGGTTCATTTTGGACTGTACACCTATTGCAATGGCTTCCTCCTTTTTTGAGGGAGTTGGTGCCATTAACTTGTGATTACAATTTCTTAACTTTAATGGCGGCGTTAATCATGCAATTCAATGGACAAAATGTCTTTTTTAGGTGAATGTAGTTTTTTTTTTTTGTTTTTTGGTTTTTTGGGATAATACATGTTAGTCTATATTTTAAAAATTATTTATAAATTAATGATAAATTTTACAAGTATTAAAATGTGAAGAGAAATTTTTTTCATTAATTAGCAATTAAATCATTGAGAAATAATTTTTTTTTAATCCCCAACTAGTTACCTCGTGATTGAATACTTTCTTGAACATTAATTTTATTTTAAATCTGAGCTAAACATACTCTTTTAGCCTCCGTTTGGGAAGTGAGTTGGTTTTTTGATTTTTTGGCTTTTTTGACTATTTTAGCCTCGGCTTAAAAGCTTGGTTTGGGAAAGGCTTTTTGACTTTTTGACTTTTTTAAATTTTTTTGTGAGAGAAGAATGTAATGATTATGGATTAGATGTGATGTTTTGTTTGTTATGGTTAAAATAGCCTATTTTATTTTTTGGGGCTAAATAACCAAAAAAAACCCAAACCATTGCTTCCAAAACGAAGCCTTAATGAGTCCAATCTTCCAAATATGATTGGTGCCCATCAAATAGTTAACCTTCGTTTGGCATATGAGTTGATTTTTTAATTATTTTAACTTAGGATTAAAATTTTTAAATCTCAAATCAAAATGTAAATAATATTCACAATATTTATAATTTATATTAACTTATCTAATATTTTGACATTTTCTTTAAATTAGTAATATTTTGGGGAAACGGGGGTCGGGTCGGGTCTGTCAAAATGTCTTCAGTCCTTTGCAGAGAAGAAGAAGATCCAGACGGTGTGTAAATGTGATTTTCCAATTTCACATCTCTCTCTCTCTCTCGCTCAATCGGAGACGAAGAACAATCTGAATGAATCGGAGCTTATCTTCTCAAAAAGCGCACTCGATTGATTCGATTTTCTCGTCTCAGGTCCTCCTCTCTCTCCCTTATATTCCTCATCATTCTAGCTTCAATTCATATATGTACATATACATTCATACATATAAGGGAAGGAATTCAATGTATGACAAAGAAGTAGATTTAGAAAATACCTATATTTTGTAAATATATATATGTAAGTATGTATGAACAAATGCGTATTAATTTTGTTTGATTGTTTTATTTTATTGTGTTTGTGAATTTTCAGGTTTGAGCTCTGGGTTAGGGTTTGTAGTCTGGAGTAGAATTCAGATCGGGTTTTTAGATTGTGACACATTTTCTAGAGTAAAGTTGGGATTGGAATTTCTGATTACGGTTTGGATTGGATTTGTTGAACTAATTGAGAGTCATTGAAAGGGTTTCTATTAATAATTGTGAATCTAAAAATGACTGTAATTATACAGGGCTAAAAACCATTTTGGTTTCTGGGTTTTTCTAGGGGGTGAAGTGAAACCCTAGAAATAGTTTGAATTGTTGTGGAAGATGAGAATTCAGCACTGTTACTTGAATTTAGAAGAATAATGGGAGAAATTATAGCTTTGTTTAAATAATAGAACAGTAAAGAATCAATGGAAGATTGTTCAAAGTATGCCCATAGTCCTGTTCACTTGGCAGTTGCACGCCGTGACTATGCTACCCTCAAGAAAATTATCTCAACCGTACCTCAGCTGGCAAAGGCCGGAGAAGTTAACACTGAAGATGAATCTCTTGCGGCCGAGCTTGAAGCTGATGCTGTATCGGCAGTTATTGATCGCCGAGATGTTCCGGGCCGTGACACTCCTCTGCATCTTGCGGTGCACCTAAGGGATCCGATCTCCGCTGAGATTTTAATGGCAGCAGGTGCTGATTGGAGTCTCCAGAATGAGAATGGCTGGAGCGCTCTCCAAGAAGCAGTTTGTAGCAGAGAAGAAAATATTGCTATGATCATTGCTCGGTACTACCAGCCTCTTGCCTGGGCCAAATGGTGCCGTAGACTACCTCGCATAGTCGCTTCAGCAACTCGAATTCTTGATTTCTACATGGAGATAACTTTCCATTTTGAGAGCTCAGTTATTCCGTTCATTGGTCGAATTGCACCGTCGGACACTTATCGAATTTGGAAGCGTGGTTCCAATTTCCGTGTTGATATGACCCTTGCTGGCTTTGATGGGTTCCGAATTCAACGGTCTGATCAGACTTTCCTCTTCCTTGGAGAGGGATATTCTTCTGAGGATGGGAATATATCTTTGCCTCCTGGATCTTTGATTGTGCTTGCTCATAAAGAAAAAGAAATCACAAATGCATTGGAGGGAGCAGGTGCTCAACCGACAGAAGCTGAAGTTGCCCATGAAGTGGCCTTGATGTCTCAAACAAACATGTATAGGCCAGGTATTGATGTTACTCAGGCTGAGCTGGTTCCCCATCTAAATTGGAGGCGGCAAGAGAGAACTGAGGTGGTTGGAAATTGGAAGGCAAAGATCTATGATATGCTTCATGTGATGGTGAGTGTTAAATCGAGGCGGGTCCCTGGTGCTATGACTGATGAGGAGCTTTTTTCTGTAGATGATGATGAAAGGACAGGAAATGGAGGTGAGCATGATGATGATGTATTGACAGCTGAAGAAAGGATGCAGTTAGATTCTGCACTTCGCATGGGAAACTCAGATGTTCTTTGTGAGGATGAGGACCGTGGGGTTCAGGATGGCCATGCAAATGGTGATAGTGGTTCCTATGAAAATGCTGAATCAAAAGAGAAGAAGAGTTGGTTTGGTTGGAATAAGAAAGGTTCGAAACATGGAGGTGGTGATGATTCAAAAATTCTGAAGAAGTTCTCAAAGTTGGCCCCAGAAGGTAGCAACCAGCGACCTAATGATGGTCAAAGATCATCCTCTGAGTTTCCTAGGGAGGATATGGTGGATACTAAAAAGAGTAAAGATAAATGCAGCAAGAAGAAAAAGATGAAGGGGGCCACAAGTGAGCCTAAGAGTGAGAGTGAGTATAAAAAGGGTTTAAGGCCTGTTCTGTGGTTGACCCCGGATTTCCCTCTGAAGACGGAAGAGCTCTTGCCTTTACTTGACATCTTAGCCAACAAAGTGAAAGCTGTTAGGAGACTGAGGGAGCTTTTAACTACTAAACTACCTCAAGGCACATTTCCTGTTAAGGTAAATAGTGAACTCTTTTTGTTTGCATGTTTGATTCTGGTAGTACATACTTCCTATCATTGCTTCTTTCTCCAGCACAATTGTATTTTCTTCTTTTACTAGTAAATATCGTTATGGTGCTTCCCACTACTAAGATGATATCCTATATTCACCTGTTTGAAATTGCCTTATTTCTCACTGATAGACGCAAGGAGTGGGACCCACTGAATATGATCAAGTGCATCCCACTACCTTCTGCCTATAGGTGAAAACATTTGGTGAGTATATCTGCCGGATATACCATTACTCTATGCTTGTTGAATCACGTTACGAACTTGATAAATCCAAACTTGTTGGGATGCTTCCAATTGTGATATCAAATAGCATGCTCTCTGTGAAAAATTAAAATAGTGATATGCTTCTACTTAATTTGGATATGATTCATATTTTCCTTATGAGAGTATGATTAGGGCTCATGCATATAAACATAATTGTGCCTCAGTTCGTTATTGGAAATGTCTTAGGCCTTTGCCTTCTAGCTCTCATCTATTGATGCTAGATTTCCTTGATTATTAAAGAGATTAATTTTTTTTAGGATTCTTTTTTTTAGACTTCAATACTGACTAATAAATTGCTTATGGACTTTACACATCTATTAATTCTTGTTCCTCTATGTTTTATATGAACAATTGCCATTGTATTTATGCAAAAAAAATTGCCATTGTATTTTGAGATCTTTAGATACTTCATCTAGTTTTTCAAATACTATCTTTATTCTATTCATGCAATTGATGATGATTGAAACCTTACACCTCCCAACTAATCAGCAGCTGGCCTTGAATAATACTTTCTTTCCTCAGTCCTTGAAAGTTTAAGAAAGATGCTACATTTTTTAAATCTTTAATCTCTCTCTGAGAGAGGACAGTGTCTCTTAACATGTGCATCTTTCTTAAGGGCTGATTTTAGGATATTACATTAAATTATAGTTGAAAGGAATTTATTAAAGAAAAAGGAAAAAGAAAAAAGAAAAAAGTGCTTCTCAAGCATGATCACTCCAAAAATAAGGGAAAAGGATCTTCACAACCAACCCTTCCTCCTAAGAAGTTGTCTTTCCCTCGACAGCATGAAATCTTGTATTTACCTCATTGACCATTTGCCTTTGTTACTCTTCCTTGTCAATCAATAACTAACTGCAATTATAAATTGGTTGATCAATTTTGGTGTGACATGCTAGGATTATTCTTCTTTTTTTTTGTCCTCTGCTTTCTTAGGTCATGTTGGATCCTGAATAAGATGATGATTGTGGTGTGTCACTGTAATGATCTAAGGAGGCTTGCAAAATTGCTGATATATGTGATACGCCTTATAAATCTTTGGCTGAGAAATCTTGATATAGGAGTTTACAATGTGTAGACACATTAGTGACCTAAAGGGTTTGTATTGAGTATAGAGTTTGAACCCTCAAAGGACATTCTGGATATGATCGACATATTCACTTTTCTTGGATGCAGATCTCCCTGTGGGTGTGATAAACATGCAATCATATTTATTGGGGGGGAAATCTGGCAATTTGGCCTAGCTTTTGAATTGGGCATGCCACTCTAATGAGCAGTTTGCCATGGCATTTAAACTTTTTTATGCTGATACACTTTAGCCAGACCATTACTGTGATTCTTAGAGACTGGGATTTTAGATGGGAAATTTTGGTATTATTTACTTTGACTCATCTTCTTTCCAGACTGATGGAATTTGTTATAGGCTGTAGAAAATCTCTTGTTGTTGTGTTGAACATGATTTTCTTCAGTGGACAATTTTTTTTTGATAAGTCATCAGAGTACACAAATTTTACAGCTCATATTAGTTTCATTGGGGGAAAAAGGCCGGGTCAGTTTGGTTTTGGTTCATATTTGTACTTTTGACTGATTGCCTGTTCTGTAATGTACTTGTTAGATCATGATGACAATTTAAATGACTCTTCAGTGCAAACTACATCGAAGTAAGTTCATACAGATGGATCCAACTAGTGATAGTCTAATATTTTGAGCAGAACATGGTAGAAGTTTTAGCAGTGGTTCTCCCATGTGCTTGGATTCTTTTGATGGTATTTCACTCCTCAAAATGGGAGTGGTGTTGTCTACTTTCTTGAATGCTCTTTTTCAAGAAGGCTAAATTGGCTATTAGAACTACCTTCCAAGTTTTTGAATTGCGTTTGGTTATGGAAGTGACTGAGGCACCATCATTTACTCACAGAAAACACACCTGTGGCTCAAGTCACTGCTGTTTTTTCTAGTTAATTGTATTTTCTAAATTTGTGTGAGCAAATTGCTATAAAAATAAATAAATAAATAAAAAACAAAAAAAACACTTGGAAGTGTAATGGTGGATGCAGTTTTTGGAGAGAATATGCGTGCCTTTTTTGAAACTCGTGATGGTTACTGGGAAATTAAAGAAAAATTGGTAGAATCCAGCACCTCTTAATATGGTTGGAGGAATCATGGAAGTTGAAGTTGGGTGCCACTTGCAGGAAACTTCTATGGTAGATAAACAGAAAAAGAAAGAGAAATAAGGGGGAAACAAACAGAAAAACTCCTTGTGTAATAAATTGATAGTTTGTCTGTGTTTTTTTCAGTAAAGAAGAAAATAAGTGAAGATTATTCGGGTTTTTTTTAAGTCCAAGGCAACTGCGGTGTTAAAGGGGAGGAGGTAGTGAAAGTTTACTGCAACATATAATGGTAGAAAAAAGGACAATATATCCTTAGTTTGCTGTATTTCTGATCACTAGTTATATAAACACATTGAGGGTATCATAATTAAGAAGAATGAGTGTGTGGAAGGGTAAAGCCTGTAAATAATGTCATAAGCTGAATGTATAGTTGTTAATTTGATATTCGAATTGTGTTTTGAAATTCTAATGCTATGAATCTCAACTGTCCCAGCAACTTTGAGGTAGCCTACATGAATCTCATTTTTCCAATTTGCTCTATTAATGGCTAAACCATCATTTAAGCCTTAAGTGACCATGTCTTCTTTCAATACCTTAACCCATGTTGAATTTGGACATTGTTGCTCTTTTACAGTGGTGGGAAGGTTGCCAATTATTTTTTCTTAAATCTAAGAAATAGTCTAGCAGCTTCATGAATTTATTAACAATTCAAAACATTTAGAGTTCTGATGATATTTAATTTCATGGAGTTACGCTAGAGATTAAACAATAACTTGCTATTTTTAAAATTGGTAGTAATTTACTATATTGGCCTATTCACTCCGCTTTCTGGGCACAATTCCATAGATGCATTTAGCTATTGCATTGATATTTCCTGATTCTATATCAGTAGAATATTTATTGGGAGAAATGTTCTATAAACTCACGGTATATCATGGATTCTATAATTTGTTGTGTCATTTGCAAAAAGAACTGTTGCATCTGATGATTAGTTCTTCACATTACTGTATTTCACTATTGGCTCTTTCCTACTAAAATAATCACGGGTTTTCTCAACTGCAGATTGCTGTCCCTATTGTTCCAACCATTAGAGTCCTCATCACTTTTACAAAGTTCGAGGAGCTTCAGCAGATGGAAGAGTTCTCAACCCCTCCTTCCAGCCCTATGCATTTTGAAGATGCCAAATCTAAGGAATCGGAAGGGTCAACATCATGGATGTCGTGGATGAGAGGGAGCCGTGGCGGGCAATCAAGTGACAGTGAAGGCCGCAGCTTCAGGGATGAAATTGACTCTTTCCAAATACCATCTGACTATGCGTGGGTTGATGCCAATGAGAAGAAGCGTCGTATGAAAGCGAAGAAAGCAAAGAACAGGAAACATAGGAAACAAACAGCAGCTAAAAGCGGGGACAGTGGACGCCAGGCAAGCGAGGATTTGGAAGAGTAGATGAGGTAAAAACCATTCCTTAAAACACCGACCTCAATTCTTCCCTCCTATGCGGTACCAATGTACCATGACTCTTGGGATAGTTATTTTGTTTCATTGTTGTATTTTTATGCGATGTGAAATTGTTGAGGAACAAGATATTCTTCGTTCTTTAATATTTTTTTGTTTTCTTTGTTCTAGTTCTTTTGAAACCTCTCCATGTATCTACTATATATCTGTGATTATCTAGTTTACATTTGTGATTGGATTCTTTTGAAGGCTGGGACTAGACAAGCACCCTAAATTCTTAATCATGCAGCTATTAGAAAGCGCTTCTTCATGTTGAACAACGATTTTACAAACTTTGGTAGTGCTCTGAAGTAATCAGAAATGGAGCAAATTAAATTTATGTGAAGCAATTTTCTGAACAGAGCCCTTGAGTTGCAGCTTAGTATTATTATTTATCTTAAACATGTGATTGAAGTTTTTGAGCCATCTAGATCGGACGGACAGGGTTGTTTGTTTAGCTTTTGATTAAAATGTTGCCAGGATTTGAAGGACCCAGCAAGGTGCTTTGATACTGCATAGCAAGAAGTCTTATGTGATCATATGTTATACCTTTGTGGTTGGAAAATGTTTCAGCTGTCGATATACCTTCTTTTGTTTTTTGGTTTTTTTTGGATACTTAACTGTCAATATCCTTGAGGGCCCAACTAGTTGTTATAGGTATGGTATCTCTAATTAAAAGAAATTTTAAGTATGATTATATTGGACGATAAGTTGAGTCAATTTCAGGGGTAAGTAAGTTTAATTATAGCGATAAGCAAACAAGTTAGAATGGTCAAATTTAATGATAAATAAGGGTCATATTGTGAGATAAAAATTACAAAATTCATCTTATTTTTTGTATATGATTTTCACTCATTAGTGATCAATGAATCTATTTTTCTCTTATTCGGATCTATTGAGAATGATATTTAGTATCGTACCAAAAAATCATTATTTTGTCTCTTTCTTTTATTTTATTTCATGCTTCTTTATTTGCTTCTTCCTTTCTTTTGTGGTCAATAATTATATATTTCTCTTATTTAGATCCATTGAGAATATTTTATAGTATGGTACCAAAAAATCATTTAGTATATTTGGTTTCAGTTTTTTTTGGAAATTGAGTTTTTTGTTTTTCGTATTTTTTTGTTTTTAGTAAATATTTTTAAAATTCTAAGCAATTTTTTAATTTTATTTTTAAGATGTACCTTTCTTAAATGTATCCAAATAGTAAAATATTTGTTAAAAATATTTTAAAAAATTAATAAATGCAAAAAATTGCAAAAAAAAAAAAAAAAAAAAAACTGAATTTTTTTATATTTTTGGTATTTAGTGAATTTTTTAAAGATTTTTTTCATAAATATTATATTTTTCAAGTGTATTTATGTTAGGTGTGACTTAAAATTAAAAAAATATTTAAAATATTAAAAAAAATCGGTGAAATCAAAAAAATACGAAAAATGAAAAATTAAAATTTTCTGAAAAGTAAATTCTAAAAACTGAAACCAAACAGTGTGATTTTTTTTTTTTTTTTTTTTGCTTTTTGTATAATCTTTTTCAACAATAATATGGGTTAAGATATAATATTCAAAATATCCGTAATTTCGTCAGTACTACACAATTTGAAGATAAAATAAAGTTATATTTTATGTTTTAGGACAAAATTAACAAAATTAAAAGACAAATCAAAGTGACACAAATAACATATTTTAGAAACCAAAAATTTATTTTACCCTTATAAATAAACCACATGCAATTATTCCTTTTATTTGATTTTTTTTTTTGGGGGAGAGAATTACCAATACAAGAATATTGATATTGACAGGGAACAAAGTTAGATTGTCTTCGTCTCCTAATGGTAGCATAAACCACAATTGTCAACAATCTATCACTTCTTGTAATAGGAATGTTGGCATAGTCTTTCATTACAAGAGGGCCTCACGTAAGTCTTTTGTTTTGGTGCACGAAACAAAAATACAAAATAACCATCACTTATTAGTCACTTGTCAATTTCTATTTAGGCATTAAAAGCTTGTACCCTTTTCTGTCAATAGCAACCATTTCCTTGGCAATAGCAACGACGGCTGTTCGAAAGTGGGTCCCACTAATCATTTTCGGTCGGGGGGAGCACTACTCTAACCGTACGACCACCGTTTGTTTAATATCTCTCTCATCAATCACAGTTGATTTTCCATCAATCACATTAGTCAAATTTTAGTGTAAAATCCGCGGTTGATAATCAATGAAAGAAGATTGATCAAAAGCAGGTAATAACTGTTTCCCTAAAGCAACACGGCCTCAGATATCATCACATCAATTCATGATTATTTCATTCATTCATTCATTCACTCGAAATTGAGAGTTGCGTGAGAGACATTGCCATTGGAACTCCCAAATTGCGTGCGATTCCTCAGCCGCCAAAGAACTCTCATACTCAATTTGCAGCGTCCTAAGGTTCAATCCTTATCTAGTACGATGTTCCTTGTGTTGAATTTCAACATACCCATCTCGAATTCTTCAGCTTTACCTCTTTGTATCGACGCTGGCTTTGTGGGTTTTTTCATTTGTGCTTGTGTTTTGTTGCTAATTGTTTGGGTTTTGATCTGATTTTGTTTGAATTATAAGTGGGTCTGGGTTAATTCGTGTTTATTATGTGATTGTTGAGTTGGGTTTGGATCTTTGATTTCGTTCATGGAGGACTCAACTCATGTTGTGGTTTATTTATATGCTATGTGTATATATTTTTTGGATGTGTTTTTGAACCTTGAAAAGTGAGAATTTTGCAAAATGGAGTTGTTTGGGGTGATGGGTACGTGACCCACTTTGTGGGAATTCAGGTTTTGATTGGCTGATGATTTTCTGAATTATTGATTTGTTGTTTACAATTTTCTCTTGTGTTTTCTGTTGATTATTTCGGATCCTGTTGAGTTTTTAATCATCTCTTGGTTTGATGATTGTTTTCTGAAGTGATTTTTATTTTTATTTTTATTTTTATTGAACAACCTTGAGAAGTTTAGTTATATTATTGATTTTGTATTTTCAAAGGACAAGCTCTAGTGATTGAAACCCAGTGTTTATTTTAATTAATATGGTGATTTCTCCGTTCTATCTTAAAAGCTATGCCTTCAACCTTTAGTGGCTTGAGTTACATTTGTTTAAAGGTTTCTACTGACCATTTTAATCCTAATTTGGCTTTTGAATATGGATAAAAACTCTAATTTAATTTTTTTTTAATTGGTTCCTCAACCTTCTTTTTTCTTTTTTCTCTTCTTTTGCTTTAGAAGTTTCTAGTTCTTAGACTTGAGTGGCTTTAGTTCCATGGATATCTGTCATAATGATAAATGAGTTGGCTTCAACATCATTTCTAGTCTTTTTGCAAAGTGAAATTTCAATTTTGATAGAAATATTGGAAAGCTTCTATAGAATTGCTTAATTGGGCAATGATTAAGCCTAAAGTAAAAACTATAATATTTTTGTTTTAAATTCATTGAAGATAAAAGCCTTAAAATAAAGTTAGGCTTAGTGTCACAAGGTTAATAATAAAGTAAAACACAAATTTTCTTTCACCTGCTTAGCATCTATCTTATGTTGTTCAATTTTGTTGATATGCTAGTTTCTTATTTCTTGGCAGGTCCTACAAGCATACAAGCCATAATCCTGAGTGGTACTGATCTTGACAGATATCAATGATTGGGTTCTAAAAACTGTTCCTTGTGTTAACAAACAGTAAGCTATTAGTTAGAAGATGTGTCGTTGATGCTGTTTGGCATTTGTAATTTATATGACCAAAATGGACATGCGACCTCCTTTATTTCTTCGGAGATCTGGTGAAAAGCAGATGAGTAACATGGGTGTTTCTGGAGCCATGTCTTCATTTCCTACCTATTCGGAAGAGAAGTATCCCAAATTGCCAGATTCGTTTCAGGTTTCCTCAGAACAGGAAATGATGACACATCCAATTTCTCCTCTATCAAGTCCATTGGCTTCTAAGAGTGGTGCAGTTGGGCACTTGTTCTCATCAGGTTCTGGATTCTCCACAGATGTTCATTTCTCTTCAGTTTCACCTCAAGCAAGGTGTCCCGGTAATTCTCCGTTCATTTCTCAAACATCTAGTGATGGAGCATCTTTGCCAGCAATCCGTTCTTCTCGTTCAGGTGTGCGATCCACACAATTAATTAATTACCCGAAGGAAGACAATGATATGTCCTGGACTCCAGATTCGTTGCATGACTTCCTCAACTTTCCAGAAAACGTACATGTCCATAATGGTCAGGTCGAAAGCAGCACTGGCGTAATGGCATCTGAAGACCATGTTAAGAGAACTGATTGGCAGGAATGGGCAGACCAGTTAATCACTGTTGATGATACTCTAGACCCAAATTGGAGTGACATTCTGGTTGATGATGTACAAGATCATCCTAAACCAAAGGTTTGTTCCTCAACTTAGAATGAGATTTATTTGTGTGGGACTGAGATATGTTAGAGTGAGGCTCACCCTTTAATTTTAGGTGCTTATGGATTGCATCTAATACCTGGATGCCTGTCTTATGTTTGATGCCTATAATGTGCCTCCATCAGTTCTATAGGTTCTAACTATTGAACTGAGATATATAAACCATCCTGTAGTTTTTTTCTAGCTTTTATTATTTATTTATTTATTTTTATAAAAAAAAATACCTCCTAAATTGTATTATAGTGTTTAAAGTTGAAATTACTTTTAGATTTTTTGAATTAAAATTACTCATGCCTGGATGCCTGTCTTATGTTTGATGCCTATGATTTGCCTCAGCCATACAGAAGAAATAAAATTCCAACATTGAACTGTGATGTAGAAACCATCCCATAATTTCATTTATTTTTTCCTCATTTTTACATTCAATACTTGTTTCTCCTAGGCCTCCCCCTGCTTGTGAATTGTGTGTATGAAAGTGAAAGTCTATACAAAGCATGAAGCTCTAAAAGGATGAAATCGTGTGATGACATCATGACTTCAGTATCTCAATTTTCTGAAGTTGTGTTTTGGCTTCATGCTATCACGTTTTGAAAACACAATTTCAGAAAGTACCTAGGTTGGCAAATAAGTTTAAAAGTGTTTGGGTCCAAGAAATTTGTTTCTAAATCACTAGGGGTTGGTAAAAAAATCCATTTAAATGCTATATTTATATATGTTTTCTGCTCTCCCTTTGACCATTTTGAAGCTCAGCTAGCGGCTTAATATGGGAGGGGACAATCTATACCCAAGATGCCTTGATTTTGATTTCTTTGTACCTGTCTTTTTTGGTGCTTGGTCTTTCTTTTCTTTTCTTTTGGTTACTCCTCTTGTCAGCCGTCTGGCATCACTTCACTAGAGTTGCTACTGTTTTCTTTCTTATCCAAGATTATTATTTTACTTTTGAATGGCATACCAGGAGATAGAACCATCTACGGATATTTCTGCGCACCAGGCCCAACTTCATCTTCATCAATCTGCACCATCTGGAGAAACTTGTCGTGTTGTTAGCCCCTTAGCCAGTGCAGCCCAGACCAAACCCCGCATGCGCTGGACGCCTGAACTTCATGAATCCTTTGTGGAAGCTGTCAATAAGCTTGGTGGTAGTGAAAGTGCGTACCCTCCCTTTTTTTAAATTTTTTTTATTTAATACTTTTTTTGCCAATGGCCTCATGGCCTAGTGGTGTGGAGGCAACACTTGGATGTTTTTGCATGGGAGAGATTGGGGTTCAACTCTTCTAGGAATTAATATAACATTAATAACTAACAACTGGCTTTCGGCGATCAAAATAATAATAATAATAATTGTGATCTCAATAAGGTTTGAGGAATCATGGTGATGTAAATGGGTGACACCCCGTATGGTGCCTTTTTAATATAAATTAAACCTTCAACTGATTAACAAAAAAAAAAAAAAATGGTTTGTGGAATCATGGTGTTTCTCATTGCATTGACTCGTGATTTTAACTCAGGAGCTACTCCAAAGGGTGTGCTGAAGCTCATGAACGTTGAAGGCCTGACCATCTATCATGTTAAAAGCCACCTGCAGGTATGGATAAGTTTTTTTTATATTGATTCTGCTTCCCTTTCCAAAATGATTGTGAACTCGCCAAATTTAATTGGATGTGCTTTTCTTACATTTCAGAAATATAGAACAGCCAGATACAAACCGGAGTCATCAGAAGGTACTAACTCAACTTATTAGACTTCAAACTTGTCATAGCAGAGATAACATCGTTCATATTTGCACATCGTTCCATGCTTGCTGCATTTATTGATTATGTGAACTGTTGCTCTTGTATATGAAGAAGCCAACTTATCATCTTATTAGGGGGGAAAAAAAAAGATAGAAAGAAAAAAAAAAAAAAAGTAGTAATTTGTGCATTTATATTTTTCTTTCTCATGCACCTCCAGTATATATATATATAGCACAGTAGTCTAAGATAATTTTGTTGTCTATTTGTACTGCAGGAACTTCAGAGAAAAAGTCAACTCCTGTTGAGGACATTACATCTTTGGATTTGAAAACGTAAGTTTGTTTATACATCTTTCCTTACCTGGAAAGTTTCTCAGATAACATCATAGTGAAATCTGTATGTCATTCTTTACCCCCTTTTGCTTCAGAGGAACTACTTCATGCTGTACATGTTTCAAAAGTTGGCAAGCTCAATTTCTAGTTTACAGTATGTTGCTTCTCTGTAACTATGATCGATAAGTAACTTGGCCTTGAAAGTGAGACCTTTTACTCTTTCTCATTAAAAATGTTTAGTGATTTATGTCTTCTATTTTCTGACAGTCATTTTGGAAAAGGTTTAAAGAAATTTCATAAACTATGTGAGGAAGCAATTGGTGGCTTCTAAAAATCTTATTTTGTGACATTAGATTGGTAACTTGCACCTAAATGACATTAGGTATGGATTTGGTATAGTTTGAATTAGAGGCTGGCTCATGTTGAGGCTGGCCCTTTTTTTTTTTTTTAGTTTTTTTGAGTGGAGTTAAATTTGAGGTTGCTCTCACCAAAAGCCACTTCATTGCCAACCCTTTTGGTCAATGTAATTTTTTTGTTAGGAGATCCATTGATGTCAAGAAACTCTTTATAATCATCGAAAGAATTAAAAGTGTAGACTTGTTACATTCTTGCTAAATTCTGTCATCCATTTTCGGAATTCTTGATTCTTTTGTGTACTAGTTCTTGGATATCAACTTTCTTGCTATAAGCATTTTGGTTTCTGTCTTTCGGCATCTGTTTTAAGTTAAAGTTGCTTCTTGTAATAAAGTTTGGAAAATGCTATACATTAACAAATTTCTTACTTGATTTTCTTAGCCCCTGGACACAGAGGCATGGGTCCTATATGTTTTTGTTGTTGTGGATCCCACTACCTTTGTGTCTAATGGTAAGAATATCTGGTGGAAAATCCATTTATATATAGTATTACTTTCGAAGTTATTTCTGCTTGTCTGGCTAGGTGAAAAATAATGCATTTTTCCTCTTCTTCTTCTACCCTTTTTTTTTTTTTCTTTCTTTGGGTGTGTTTTTTTTTTATACATCTTTCCTTACCTGGAAAGTTTCTCAGATAACATCATAGTGAAATCTGTATGTCATTCTTTACCCCCTTTTGCTTCAGAGGAACTACTTCATGCTGTACATGTTTCAAAAGTTGGCAAGCTCAATTTCTAGTTTACAGTATGTTGCTTCTCTGTAACTATGATCGATAAGTAACTTGGCCTTGAAAGTGAGACCTTTTACTCTTTCTCATTAAAAATGTTTAGTGATTTATGTCTTCTATTTTCTGACAGTCATTTTGGAAAAGGTTTAAAGAAATTTCATAAACTACGTGAGGAAGCAATTGGTGGCTTCTAAAAATCTTATTTTGTGACATTAGATTGGTAACTTGCACCTAAATGACATTAGGTATGGATTTGGTATAGTTTGAATTAGAGGCTGGCTCATGTTGAGGCTGGCCCTTTTTTTTTTTTTTAGTTTTTTTGAGTGGAGTTAAATTTGAGGTTGCTCTCACCAAAAGCCACTTCATTGCCAACCCTTTTGGTCAATGTAATTTTTTTGTTAGGAGATCCATTGATGTCAAGAAACTCTTTATAATCATCGAAAGAATTAGAAGTGTAGACTTGTTACATTCTTGCTAAATTCTGTCATCCATTTTCGGAATTCTTGATTCTTTTGTGTACTAGTTCTTGGATATCAACTTTCTTGCTATAAGCATTTTGGTTTCTGTCTTTCGGCATCTGTTTTAAGTTAAAGTTGCTTCTTGTAATAAAGTTTGGAAAATGCTATACATTAACAAATTTCTTACTTGATTTTCTTAGCCCCTGGACACAGAGGCATGGGTCCTATATGTTTTTGTTGTTGTGGATCCCACTACCTTTGTGTCTGATGGTAAGAATATCTGGTGGAAAATCCATTTATATATAGTATTACTTTCGAAGTTATTTCTGCTTGTTTGGCTAGGTGAAAAATAATGCATTTTTCCTCTTCTTCTTCTACCCTTTTTTTTTTTTTTCTTTTTTCGGGTGTGTTTTTTTTAGCTGGTATAATACATTCTTGGCAGGGATTTCTAGCCCTTGTATATAAAGTTACATTGTAAAGTTTTATTTTGTGTTTCTTATGCTGAAGACTTGAAACAGAACGCTGTTCCTCTGATTTTGAAAACAGGAGTATGGGGATTACTGAAGCATTGCGAATGCAGATGGAAGTTCAGAAACGGCTCCATGAACAACTTACTGAAGCATTGCGAATGCAGATGGAAGTTCAGAAACGGCTCCATGAACAACTCGAGGTATGCCTTTGATACTCGGTATCCAATTGGGTAGTTACTGCTTAAGTTGGAGCTTCTATTGCTGGTCATTCAGATTATTGAAAAGGCGCCTTTAGGAGCATAATTGGGAATATATTTCAGATTTCATTGAGACCTTGATAATTTTGATATATTGCTTAGTTATGCTGACTATTCATTTCTCATGATAGTTGAATGAGAAGTTTATACTTGCTTTTCATTTGGAAGAATGCATCTTTCAATCCATTTATTTCCTTCTAACAAGCTATCCATTGATCTCATGTGTTGAATAAAATTGACTCCATATAGTAAAGATCTGGGCTTAATATATTTTCTATAGTAGCAGCATGAATGGCGAATGGTATAGCAGTGTTTCATACCCCAGCAACTCCTGTCACATAAAATGGTTTCAGTGACACTATGAAACCCATAATTGACTTACACTGCAATTCATACTCTACAAAATTTGTCGTCTGAGCATGCCATGGAACCCTTGAAAGACTGGCATCAAAATTCATACCCGTAGAAAAGTTGTGTATCCTATATGTGTGCATGGTGAGATTCTTCTGCCTTTTTTGTACCCAAGGGAAAAAGGTTGCGGCTACAAGGATTAAGATTAGAGATTTAAGGATCGAAACTCACGTTGGTACCTATTCTACAAGTGCTCACTGCTCATTTTACTCCCTCGCTAGAAGTCAAATGGGTCTCTCTGGGCAATGAATTTTTAATACTGTATAGATTCTCTTTCTTTGTCAAGAGGGCTTCAAATGTTGTTTTTCCAAAGATTTTAATACTGATTTTATTTTTAGGTGTACTTCCTTTCAATTGCTATGCCCACAGATTGCTGCAAAGTTTGATGAGAAGTCACTGCAGCAATTTTTATTTTTATTTTTTGAAAGGGTGTGTGGATCTATGACTTGCTGTTAATTCTGATATTATGCCTGCAATTTTTTTTTTTTTTTTTAACTTCAGATACAAAGAAATTTGCAGTTGCGAATTGAAGAACAAGGGAGGTACCTGCAAATGATGTTTGAGAAGCAGAAGAGGATGGGTGATGAGAGGTTGAACGCGTCCTCCTCCAATTCAGATGAACCCCCTCCCCCTACGGTCATGCAATCTTCCCACGCCAACAACAAATTAGAAGCCTCCAAAGAAGAGGACAACATCAATGCAGGAAGTGGTGGAAGTATTGCAGGCTCGGTACCAGATGAAATTTCCAAGGACTCAATTGAGAAACAAACGGAACCTGAAAGCAAGATTGGCAAGGATCTCAACCCAGATGCTAAGAGGCCTGCTTCTCCACCTACGAAGCGTGCAAGAGGAGATGAAACAGCAGTGCTCGTAAGCTAAACTGGTGTTGTGTTAGTTGTGTGGCATGTACTTTGTCGATCAACTCAAAGAATGGTGGGAACTTTGGACATTCTTTCAAGTAGCAAATGGTGCTTCTTTTTTGCTTTTCTTTTTTTTTTTCTTTTTTTTCATTTAGCAAATAAGCAAACTAACTCTCTAAACTGGGAAAGAAGGCTTCTTTGTATATATGTGCTTGTGAATACATCTGTAGGAATCTTTTGTGCAATTATGTTTTGGGTCTTTTGGTGGTTTTATTTCATTATTACCATCTATTTTGTATATCTATAACGGACTAATCACAACTCCTTGTGAAGCCAATCATGTTTAAGGTTGAAGTAGATCTCTCTCCAAGATCAAGTTTGAAGTTTCACTACGCTGATGAGTATAAATGTGAATTGTTTAGTACTGCTTAGAATAATAGAATTGATATCTTAAATTCTGTGCCCTTGTGGGGTGACCGGAAAAAAAATAAATTTAAAAAAAAAACTTGCCTCTACCTAATGTACGTAGCAGCCTTCTTATGTTGCAGTGATACACAAGTGAATTCTAAACACATTTCAACATTTCTTGTTGCAAACTTGTCCAACTACCAATATAAGGATTTGTTTAAGGTTGTCCTAAATAAGTGTATTTTTTATTTTTTTGAACTAAAAAGTTGAGGAAAAAAATATTGATGTTTTGGTTAACTTTTTATATAAAAATGTGTATTAAAAAATTGTATAAAGAAATGTGTAGGAGAAGATTAGAGATGTGTGTTGTACAGCTGTACAATCTGCACAGCCGAATTGATGGTAAGAAATTATTAGCTACTTTTCGGACATTGCACTGGACGGTTTTGTTCGGCCCGTGGAGACCATCACGGGTCCCATTTTGATAATCTGAACCGTTCAATAAGTACTATATGCTTATAAAAAATCACGTTGATCGGATATCCATAACTATATGATAAGATTTATTTTTTTTCAATCGTTAATTATAACACCATCCATTTTTTTATACAAAACTGATTTGATCATATAGTTATCGATATTCGATCAATGTGATTTTTTACAAACATATAGCACTCAACGAGTTCTACACATTGAACGGTTCAGATTATCAAAACGGGACCCGTAATGAGCCCCCACAGGCCGAACAGCAGAAATAGATCTCATAACAGAAATAGATAAAAAATAATAATCAAATAATTAAATGGTCTTTTTCGTTTTCTGCTTTTGCAGTGAAACTTTTTTCCCACTTAAAATCATCCGTTAAAGGACATAAACTAGAAAGAGGAAACATACAATCACCGACTCTGATGCTGCGAAAATGCAAAAGAAACTTGGAACAACCAACTGAATTACCTAAAAATATTTCTTTTGTACCTACAAAAAATTGCCAGAATGAATTCACGTACTTCACCAACCTTCTGTATATACTATACCAAAGATGATGGTCTAATTACTGTATCATCATATACAATATAGCATAGCAGCCGAAGATCAAAAATGGTCATTATTGGCATTCAGAACTTGCGCATGGTTTCACTCTCCTAGTAGTTGTTCATCTGATGGCACTTGACGTGGTTCCTGTAACAGAAATTAGTGTTTTATATTTCTAAGCAGCAATGGAAAGTACTAAACAGAAGAGCCTATATACGAGCATTCAAATTTTTATACAAGTGCATAATGACAAGCACTTGAAATTCTTTGATCCCAAACTTTTTGGACATCGGGATTGGAAATTTGGCAAGAGACATCAAACAAATCTACAAACAGTAAGGGCACAGTTAAGAGCATCTTATCAAAGATAATATATACTAACCTTTTCCTCTCACGTCTCGACAAAATGCACTTCTACAACAGCACTGAAATGCCTTAATAGGATGATTATGATCATCGAAGTCAATCCCATAATCCTGAAAGCCAAGCATATGGAAGACAAATAATTGTTTTAAGGATACGTAGCTCCAAGTATCTCCACCAAATTCAAATAATTAAGCAACAACTAAGCTACATAGTCATAGCATTTGGTTCATAAGTTGCCAAATCTACTAATTAACCTACCTTACTAGTTTGTTCAAGTACATTCAAATTAAAGGTTGACATTGCACACTGATAACAATTGTTTAACAATTTCACCAGTAGTCACTTGAAGAAGTATAACATAATTCTATGAATAACATTTTTAACTCCACTTACCCAAGTCAGTTCTTCCAAAGCATCCACATTTCTTTTAGTGAAAAAGGCAAGCTGCATAAAAGGAACATAGGTGTGCTTTAAATGTACTTCTCTTGAGATGGATGGGGGATTAATAGCCCTGAAATCATATGCATGAAATTGTGCAAATGTAATAAGTCAAACCCATACATGGTAATAATGGTGATCAGGAGACTCCACTTCGACTGGTATCTCGAGCAAGTTTGCATCAAAGCATCTGGAATGGAAAAGAAAAAAGAAAAATAAAGGACTATTTTTTCAAAAAGTATATAACAAGTACAAAAAAGAAAAGAAATCCAAAGAAATTGTAAATTTCTGAAAGAATTATACGCTAACTAAAGGGTATGTCCCCTCAACACATTTTGTTATTTATTAAATTAAAAAATTAAAAAACAAAAATGGGAGAGCAAGGAAAAAGCATATACAAATATGCCACATTCATGTCAATAATTAGGTTCTTCATACCATGGGCATCATGGACTTAAAAGGAGCAAGAATCACAATTCATTCTTTGATTTTAGAGAGTGAAGGATTACTAACAAGCCTTATTAAGTTAATTAGAACCATGTAATGTGTAAAGGGGTAAAAATATGAAGATCATATTCCATAATGATCAATTAGAGTTTGTAGAAATTGCTAACTGACCTTCTGCATATAGTTAGACCTACCAAGAAACGCACCAAGGTGGTGGTCAACAATAAGAACAGAGAGGGCACGTTGAGGCATGCTTAGGAGGTACTTAGTTCATCGGAGAAATTGACCACAGATAGATTATTTGTGGATTCATAAGGCCGAGCATGGGCAATAGGAGAATTTTCTATAAAGATTTTCAAAGGCTTTATCAACAGAGTCTAGTTCTTCCCACTCTATCAAAGCCAATTTAGCTTAGATTATCAAAATAATAAAAATATATGACATCACAACATGTTTGTATTTATTCTTGAACCAGTTGAGTTCAATTGTGAGGAGCATGTCTACTTTAACTGGCTTACAAAGGCTTTGCCATTTGGACATATAAGCAAAGTAACACAAAAAGTTGGGCTTTTCATGTAACTACATATATATAATGTCACACACAGACAGAGAGAGACAGAGAGACAGAGAGAGAGAGGGGGGGGGGGGGCGCGCTCACCTGTGATTTACAAACCTAGCAACATTTCCATAAAATGTTGCATCCAAACAAAGTGCATCTTCATCCTTTAGAACTCCTTCCGAACCCCAATCTGCATCAAGTAGCACTGGGTATGTATGTCTCTCATTGCCACTGCTTTGCTTATTACGCTCATACAGTTCCATGTTCGTTAAAATTTCCCCAACGTATTCGCACACAAAAGAACCTTTAGGCAAGTCCTGGAGTGTTCTAACACCCCAGCCTTTACCGTCATTTGTCAAGAACACCTGAAACATAAGTGATATTAAATAGCTGCAGATCAAAACAAACTGCGAGACTAATTTAAAGAGTTAATGATGGTGACACAAGTAACTTCTGTAAATGATTGGCGGGCAACACTAGATCGAACACAAACAACTAACTAGAATAATTTTTTATGCCTTCATTAGATGTCTTTCTAATGGGGGAAAGTGAAACTGAAAATAAAGCATAATTCCATGGAAAGAATAATTTTAAACCTTTGAGAAACAAACTATTGACCTCCAAAAAGGCATCATTTGCTACTAGTAAGAAATGCATCTACAGGCTGGGGATGATACTATGTTTACACAAGTCCAGTGTAATAATTAATGATAATTAGTACATTCAAAACAAAAGTTGCTACAACATAATGGCTCACCTGCAACTTGCAGGTAATACCTCTCTGCACAACTCTATTTCCACATTGCATGTTACAGCCACATTTCCGCCAGCATTCTTTAATGAACTTCCTCACCAAATGGCCCTTGCATGGTGCAGGCCTGATCCCATTCTTAGCCCTCTCCAATGGGCAATCTTCACAATAAAAATGGTAATGCTTTTGTGGCTCTCGATTCATAGAAATACAAGCTTTCAGAAATTCTTCCTTTAGAAGGCCTTGGGGTGTGTAGGCAAACTCTCCCCCAGTATCACGAGCACATGCACAAGGTATAGATAAGGAAAGACAATCCCCTAAACATCTTGAACAGCAATCATCATCCGCAATTCTAGCCAATGAGAAATGGATGTATGCATTCTGATAAACTATGTTCTGAGCTATGTACACGAATTTTGGTATATGCTCATTGCCAGTATCATCAATCAATGAAATCCGTACCTTTTCTGTTCCTTTTGTTATGTCATTTATTTTACGAGAAGTCCTTTTCCTATCATGACTGGTAGCTTGCTGCTGAGTAACCACCAAACCACATGAATTTGTAGATTCCGAACAGCTTGCTTCCTTTTTGATTAAAGATCTGTCAGTGGAATCAGTACCTAGTTCTAAATAACTTTCACAAAAGTCTTTCAATAACTTCAACACAGAAAACTGAAACGCAACAATTTTGTATGATCGTAGATATTTATTCTCCACAAATTTCAGGACAGTGTCTAAATTTGGAGCGTGGAAGTTAGTTTGTCCAAGGGCAGAGTTACAGTTCAAAGAAATTTTCACATCTCCAGAGAGCGATGAAGCAATCTCAAAATTATTTGGAGAGGTTGTCCCAGGATTGCAAGCCGAAGCATCAGCTTGGTTGTCCTTATTGTCACATGGAGACACTAACTCTTTGATAGAACTATTTCCAATTGAAGAACCCTCCAGTGTACCTGGAAGAGCTAAACAAGACCAAAGCAAAAAGTCAGAAATGAATAAGTAATACTTGAATGTATAATAGGAAATACAAAATCAATAAGATGGGTACATATGGGGTAATCATTTACTTCCATATCAAACTTATGAAGCTAGTTGTTTTCTATAGCCTCAATAAAGAAAAGGATTAAGAAGAAACATATATTATTTCCTATACAAATTCCAGGACTCAAATGAACTACAGTGGTTATTAGAATCATGAAAAACCTTTAGAATAACTCTTCTTTCACATTTCCTCAGTCAAGCTAATTACTTAAACCCTACAGATCATGGGATTTTTTTATTCTTTTCTCTTAGTAGAACAAGATCAAAAAACTATAACCGGTGACAGAAGCAAAACTCAATGGTCTGGTCTATCCTTTTTCATTATGTGGCTCATTGACTGTGGCTTTGACAGAAAAAGCATATAGAACCAAGGAAAAAATTCAGAATTCAATTTTGCACATAACATAATACATACACAGGCCAATATCCTAACACAACCAAGCACAAATGCACATAGGAAAGCGCACATACATACATAAACCAGTAGTCCATCATATAAGATCAAATAATATGTCGGCATAAGTACCTGGCACATCATTAACAGATTTCTTTCGTTTAGGCACCACAAAATCTTCACCACGACAATCTTTATGCTTCTTTTTTCTCAGCATATGGTCAAAAGCAGCTCCATCCCTTGTCTGATTAGAAAGCAAAGCAGATGATGCCCTCTCAGAAGATGATTTTGTGAATTTGGTGGCCAAATGCAGGGACATAGGGTCCTTCCCTTTGTTACTAACAGCTTCTGGAAGGGAATGAGAACTAGATCCAATTTTTATATCTTTGGAACACGATTGAGATGATTCCATCAGTTTTGGGACAATTGAAGTTTGGGGTTTTTCACCCTCTTCTAAACCCAACACGGTGTTCGCATTATCCATTGTAGATGAAACCTGATCTTCCTGCTGTTCCAAGTGCAATTTTTTTAGTGGAGGTTCTGGCCCATCATGCTCCATTGCACTTTTCTTCTTATCTTCCCTTCTCTAGAGAAAGGCCAAGGGAATGAAATCATTAGAAAATTATAAAATTTGAGAAAATAGAAGATTGTGAAAGTAATTCAATAAATACTGCATCAACTACAAATAATAACTATGTAAATTACTGCTACTCTTAAACGAATTGATTAATAAGAATGAAACAAACCAAGCTCAAGCACCCTATGCTGCATAACCAGATAAACAAAGAAACTATATTATCACTTGAATCATAAAAAGTTCAACAATTAATAAAAGAGTAAACCTTATCATCTGTGCACTCAAATATAGCATCAGCAAGAGTACGGTAGCTATCCTCCTCAATGAGTTCCCAATTATTATCATACAACTTCAGAAGATTCCTGAGCACCGGTTTCACAGTTTCTGTAGGAATGCCCAATACCTTCATTGCACTGAAGGCCTTCAAAACTTTTGGATTAGGTGCCATCAATTATCCAAAATTGCAAGATCTCAATTCAGTAATATTTCCTTTTCTACCTGTTCATATTCATCAGTCTTGTAAGATAGACAACAAAACTCAAAAAAGAGTTCATAAATTACAATTTGTTACAATCACTAGGTTCCTTGAGAAACAAGATACAGTGTATGAAATAATACACAAACAAACAAACAAACAAAATTAGTCTTTGCCAAGCAAGATTATGAAGTGTAGATAACTTAAGTTCCTTAAATCCAAATCTGATGCATATTAAGAAAACTTTCAAGGGTAATAAAAATGAGATCAGATGATTTGAAAGGAATGCAAAACATAAAGCCATGATCTTGAACTAGACATCCAAATCCACATTGAACAAAAACCCTGACTTGAAAAGGCAGATACTCCATAAAAAGTTGTACATAGTATTTTTTTTCTTCAAGTTTTTTCTTTTATTATTATTTTAGAATCAAACACTTGGAACACGTGTGAATCACATATGCGTCTTAGCACAAATTGGAAGAGAATTACTTGAGGGTCAATGATTAAAATCAAAACAATGTAATATAACAATTAATCTCTTTTTCTTTATCTTTTGGCTCTTTTATTTTAGAAATCAACCTAAAACTTCAAATTTGTTTGGGAATACTTTTCAAAATACATATTAGGATTTTCTAATTCACACTTTTCCCTAACATATAAAATGTAAAAACTGAATTCTTACTATTTTTATTTGCTGTAATAAAATATAAATATATTTGCAAGGTAACAAACGAGTAAGCTTTTATTTTACGTACACAAATATATATAATTTGTGCTTGTATCCTGCTGTGTCGTGTTCTAATTTTGTTAATTTGTTCCTGTATCCTCCCATGTCCATGCTTTTAGTCAATAAGAACAGGATTTCCCCACCTAAAGATCATCAAAAATCGCAAAACAAAAGCTTGAGCCCACCCCATTAAATGGAAAAAAAACTCAAATATAAGCATTACAAAATTACAAAAATTGGAACCATTCCCATACATGAAATAAATTGAAACCAAATTACTTCAAGGAAGGTCTCTCTCCCGCACACACACGCAAACACAAACACATACACACACGGCATGTCTCTTTTGGTGCAGCAAAGAATTCCTATTTGTGTTGAAGCTAAAGTAAACAAATAAACAAAATCATTGTTTAAATTCATGATTTCTATCCTCTGAGTGGTCCAAATACACCCTAAATCAAGATTATCAAATGTAAAAACACTATGAAGCATTTTAAACCTTGAAATTGAATTAAATACTTCAATTTTTCCACTTGTTAAATCAGTTTAAACGAAACAACAAAACCCTCGCTGACAACATTCACTAAACTTTTTTTTTTTTTTTTGGGTGAATAAACATTCACTAGACTCACTATCTATGGAAAACAAAACATCAATGCTCTGTTTGGTAACATAGAAAAACAGAGTAAAAATGAATGTACAAGAAATTATTTAAAAGGGTTGCATTAAAACCAAAGCGATATGCAAAATTCCAACATTATTCACTACTTCCTAAAACCAAAGCGATATGAGAAGACACAAAAATTCCAACATTATTCACTACTTCCTAAAACCAAAGCGATATGAGAAGACACAAAGAGTGATTTTTATCCTCTGGGTGGCCCAAAATACACCCTAGGTCAAGATTATCTAATGTAAAAACACCGGAAATCATTTAAACCCTGAAATGAAATAAAACACTTCAATTTCCCTATTTGTTAAATCAATTTAAATGAAACCACGAAAACCCTCACTGACAACATTCAATAAAGTCTCAATATTTATGCAAAAACAAAACAACAATGCTCTGTTTGGTTGCCGAGAAAAACAGAGTAAAAACGAATGAACGAGAGAAAATCATAAAAAGGGTTTTACTAAAACCAAATAATCTACCATGAGAATTCTCAGCAACGAAACAGAAACAAAAACAAAAACAAAAAAGAAGGAAAGATTGAAGTCTTACCTTATATATAAGAGTCGTAACCCCTACTCCAAGAAAACTAGGAGGATAAAAAATGCGAAACAGAATAGGATTTTTGAGCGAGGGTTTCGGAGAGTGAGAAACAACCACGATCGTTTCCTAACCGGGTTTTTTTGGAGAGAGAAGATGGTGCCTACAACATGACTGGTACGGGTAAAAGGAGGCTTGTATATATTCAGGAAATGCTCGAGAGAGAGAGAGAGAATCAGCTCCTCTTAGTCAAGTGCACAGATATATATATATACACATATATGTATGTATATACTACATCTGAGAGTGACTGAGAGAGAGAGAGAGGAGGGGAATTTCACAGTTGAGAGAGAGAAAGCGATAAAGAGAGAAACGTAGGCAGAAGAGAAGGATCATGGTATAGGTATTGGACGTGAGTTGTTATCCTATACGGTTAGGTTTACAGTACTACTACTGATATCCTCTCATTGATACATTAAGCCTCCGTTTGGGAAGTGGGTTGACTTTTTGACTTTTTTAGCTATTTTAGCCTGGGCTAAAAAAACTTGGTTTGGGAAGGACTTTTTGGCTTTTTGGCTTTTTGGCTTTTTTGTGAGAGAAGAGTGTAATGATTATGCGTTGGATGTGATGTTTTGTTTTTTGTGACTAAAATAGTCTATTTTGTTTTTTGTGACTAAAATAACCAAAAAACCCCCAAACTCTTCTTGCCAAACGAACCCTTATTTCAGGCTATGTTTGGTTCATCAATTTGAAAAAAAAAGAGAGGGTAAATTACACTTCACTCCCTTCATCTATTATGGTTTTTCACGTTATCCATTTAATCTAAAAATTGATACAATGTATAAATTTTTTTAAAAATTTAGGGCAAACTTCACTTTACCTTCTGTGATTTGGACTAGGTGCGGTTTATCCTCTGACGTTCAGAAATTACTACATAATTTCTACGTGATTTGTAAACCAAAACGCACACTAATTTTTGTATGTAAATTGACAGTTATATCCTTCTATCTCTCTTTCTTCTCTTCTTCTTCATCATATCCAGAAGTGTTATACCCTTTTCCCTCTTTCTCTCTCTTCCTTCTCTTCTTTCAACGTACCCACATTTTATACATACATATACATATATACATATCAACACCATCATTATTCGCACATCTCTTGCCATTACTTGACTTTCAACAATTTTCTCTTCCAATTTAGAGCCACCCACATACCCAAATCCACCTTGTTCGAAATCCAATTTCGCATTAAACAAATTTTCACTTCCATTCAACAAAACACTTGATTTAGTTTCATGCTACCAACTCTAACATATATATATATATATATAAACCTGCAAATTGCGTATATATATATATATTCCTAAAATCTGTTCAGACGCTTAATTTCAATGACAACATTTCAATCCTACAATTAGTCACATCCAATTTATTAATGTTCAGACACTGCATTTCGAAACCTGATCCCAAAGTATTATGAGGATAGCTGATATCTAGTTCCTCCAACCACGACATCAAATTGGCTATTGTTAGACTTATTTATTTTGATGATTTATTTAATTATGTTTTAATTTATTTGAAAGAGAAAAATAGAATCCAAAATTTATTTTGATGATTTATTTAATTATGTTTTTAATTTATTTAGAAGAGAAAAATAGAATCAAAATTTATTTTGTCCCATTATTTCTTACCTAAAACTTTTATCCTAAATGTTGTTAGAATATATTTAATATTTGATTAAATCAGAGGTTTAAACAGCTCAAAATAAAGGTTCAAACAACCCAGCACAGCAACAAGCCAAAAGATTTAAACAGCCCAGCACAGCAGCATGCCAAAAGATTCAAGTGGAAGATATTCAAATTAGTAATGATGGAGTGGAAGATATTCAAATGAATACAACGATTATCAATGGCTATAAATTCAAATAAATACAATGGTTATAAACGGTTATAAATCCAAATGAATACAACGGCTATAAACGGCTATAAGTTTCATTATATATACCAAAGCCTCTAATGTAAACAAGTTGCAAAAAAAAAAAAAAAAAAAACAAACAAACAAACAAACAGAAAACATTCCTTAATCAAAAATCATTTTCATCTATTCTCTGAAAAATTCTCTGAGAAGTGTTCTTCAATTTTTGTTTACATCCTCTCTCAGAAATTATACACTGAGCCTTATAGCATTAAGATCATATTTCCTGTGTGAGGTTTATAGAAAATCCAGAGCTTCATTTTTATATCTATCTTTAAGAAATAATTCTTGTAACTTTATGTGAAAGCAAAAATACATTTTTTTCAACCTTGTAAGAGTGTAGTACACTCAGTGTTCTTGACTTAGAAAGTCTGTGTAAAATCTGTGAAATATTGCTCAATCTGTAAAAAGGTTGTTAGCACCCTGTGAAGCTAGAGTATAGTGAAAAATCTCAAGTGAAGCTTGAGGAGTGGACGTAGGCCGAGTTGAAACTGAACCACTATAAATTTGTTTGCCTCTCTCTCCCTTATCTCTTTATTTTATTTAAATTGCCATAACTATATTTCACATTTTCACTGTACTAAAATCATTAACTGACATAACTGTTAGAACACTTGTTTTAATTATTTTCATTTCATTAACTATATTTATCTATTGTGCTAATCATAATTTTTATTAGAGTATTGTTTGGTTTCGTTTTTCTGAAAACAGTTTTCAGAAAATTTTACTTTCTTATTTTTCGTATTTTTTTGTTTTTACTGAATTTTTTTAATATTTTAAGAAATTTTTTTAATTTTTAGATACACTTAACATAAATACACATAAAAAGTATAGTTTTTGTGAAAAAAATCTTTTAAAAATTCAATAAATACCAAAAATACAAAAAAAAAAATACAAAAATTTAGTATATTTTTATGTATTTGTTAATTTTTTAAAATATTTTTTCACAATTTTTTTACTTTTTAGATACATCTAAGTAAGGTGCATCTAAAAAAGTAAAAAAAATGCTTAAAACTTTAAAAATATTCACTAAAAACAAAAAAACACGAAAAATAAAAAACTCAATTTTCAAAAAATTTAATCTAGAAAATTCAAACCAAACACACTGAATTTTATTTGTAAAAAGCTAATTCACCCCCCTCTTAAGTTGTCTTTTGGGTAACAGCTATGATAAACAATTCAATATCGCAAAATTGTGAAGTGGGTTCGAAGTCCGTTGATGATTGTAAGAAATTTTTTGGATGAGAGAGAGGGATTCGATATTTAGTAAGATCAAATCATCTCTCATCTTCTTTTTCTTTTTCTTTTTTTTTTTTTGCCTGGGTGGAGGTGGATATTGATTGCATTATTTATAAATTTGAAGATGTACCAGAGGTATTTTTATCTTAAAAATAGTGTTACCATCCTTATAAGTAATGTGTTCTCTTGAACGGAAAAGTTAACGGTGCATTTTGGTCCACAAATCACGTGAGGGTGATGTGGTGATTTCCGAATGTCAGTGAGGTAAACCGCACCCAACCCAAATCATAGGGGGTAAAGTGAAGTTTGCCCAAAATTTTAATCTAACTTTTATGTCTCTATTCTATTAACAAAATTGACATGAAAGATTCATGTAATGTGTACATGTCATATTTACGATAGATCTTTAAAATGTGTTTTTGCATAAGTATGAGATGTGCACATTACATGAATATTTTTCGTCTGGTTTGTTAACAGATTGGAGAGATAAGATTTAGATTGAAAACTTTCAGAAGATGAAAGAGGTCAATTGTGTTGATTTCTAGTTTAAGGAGATAAAGTGAAAAATGGTGATAGTTATGAGGGTAAAGTGTAATTTGTCCAAGAAAAAAAAAAGGTTAAATATTCACATATTTTTTTCTTTATCTTTTTAAATCTTTTTTCAAATTTATAAATCAAACACAATGTTAGAGATCACATACTCCATGTTTGGATTAAAGTATTAATTACCAAAAAAATATGATTCTATCGTGAGGAATCCAATTGCCAATAATAAGATTTTTACGCTAGTATCAATTTTTTGTTTTTTTATTGGGGATATTACTTGTCAATGGGAGTACAAAATATATTACAAAATTTATAATTTATAATTTTAATTATTAATATGTATAAAATTTACTATTTATTTGTAATTTTTTTAAAAATTTACATGGATTGAAATTTTCTTTTTTTATTTTGCTTGTTATGCTACTATCATTAAGGTATTGAGTTAATTTTATTCAAAAAAAATTCACCATTTTTATTTGTGTTAGCATCCATGGTTCTCATTTTTTTCGAAAATTCATACAACAATTTAAAGTGTCTCTTAGAAAGTGGTGCTTTCCATAAAACTTTCTCAAAAATAATTTTCAGAAAAATAATTTGTCAAATAAAATTTTCATATAAGTTTCTATTTTATTTGTTTTCAGTAAAAGAAAATAAAAAGTAAAAACAATATATATATATATATATATATTGTGATGGAAGTTAAGATTCTTAATTTAATTTTTAAATCTATTTACCTTGATTACAAATTCGTCCCCTCTAGTACCAAAAAGAAATGCTATAGTGATGAAAATTGAGTATTAATTTTTGAATACCATTTAGAGGGTGTTTGAGATGATTTAAATAACTATATTTTTTGAATTTTTACAAAAAAATGTGTAAAAACATAGAGAGGCAATGTAACTAAAAAAAGATTTTTAAAAAAAGTACACTTTTATAAGAGATGCCAAATAATGTCTTAATGTGTTATCACCGCATTAATATAAAATTTACAAAGTAAATCTATGTTCCATTAAACTAATTCATCAATGACACATTAAAATAATAACACATTTAATGTGTTAATTTCATGTTGTCATATTCAAGGGATATAATGGAGGAGACAAAAAATTATATTTTGATTTTGTTTCTTTAAGTACCTTATTATAGCAGTGTAAAAATGACACGCAACTCGAGATGGGCCCAGCCCAATTAGGCCCAGTTAGGCCCAAGCCGAGTCCAGTCCAAGATCCTAGGCTTGGTACATCATTTTGAAGTCCGACCTATCAATTTGCTCAATGCGCACTCCAAAGCCTGGCCGGGGCCAAGGCCCTGTGTCATTTTTTATGAAAAATAATAAATTTTGGTGAAAAAAATAACAAAAAAAATTTATAAAAATGTTCCAGCCCGCCCGAGCCATAGTCCCGACCTACCCAATACCCAAATACCTCCTGGGTCTAGGCCTAATTTTTTGGCCCATTGCTCGGCCCGACTTGGTTTGAATTTTGGCGGGAGTCCATGTGGCCCGACATAGGCTGGCCCGAGCCCGAACCCGGATGGGCCGAGCCAAATTTACACCCATACTTATTCCTATATCATGGTCATTATCTTATCTTATAAAACTCTTCACTT